TAAACGGTACACCCCTGCAACAAGTTGAGAGTCAGAAGGACTTGGGTGTGTGAATAACTTCTTTACTCAAACCAACGCTGCATTGTACGAAGGCGGCGAAATCGGAAAGATCTATGTTACAGCTGATTAGACGAGCCTTTATGGGGTTTGAAAAAGACAGCTTTTCCAAAATCTTTGGAAGCTTTGTTCGGCCGCACCTGGAATTCGCTATGAAGGCATGGAGACCTTGGATTGTCAAAGACTGTACCGTATTAGAGAAGGTCTAGAGGCGAGCGAAAAAACGGTCAAAGGTCTAGGAACATTGCCCTATGAACGTAGACTGTCAATTTTTGACCTATTTTCCCTTTCCTACAGACAAATCCGAGGAGACCTCATATTAACCTACCGTATTATGAATAACCTGGATTGTTCTTTCGTTCCCGGTGATTTCTTTGTCCAGGCTGACACGCCAACTTTGCGCGGGCATCCGCTTAAACTACGCTCCGGCAAAGCAAGAATCGACGGATGAAAATCTTTCTTTACCAACAGAGTAGTTTCAGCATGAAACACGCTTCCTGAAGAGGTTTTCCCCTCCACTTGTGTTAATTAATTTAAGAGTAGACTGGAGATGCATCAAGCACAAATGGAAATCATGTAAAAACTACTGCATAACATTATAATGAATCACACTATATTTCCGAATGAATAAGAAAGTTCGCGATCCGGGTATCTGCACACACGCTATATTTAACACACAAATTGCACCAAATTATACTCCTCGTAATTTGCTTGTAGTCATATTTTTTTCTGTCATATGATGTTAAGATTTGACTCTGATGTCTTCCCGGAACATGTAATTGATGTAAATTTTAATTTTTATTTGTATCCATTTATTCCCTATCATCTTGTTACCAACAGGGAGTTCAAAGGCGTTCGCCTATCTTTCCCTCAATAAACTGATACTGATACTTACCCAATGGAAGTGTCAATACCTCTTTCATGAGGGCTTCACCGACTCGCGAACTGCCGTTAAGCTGCATGGTTTCAGTCGCCAATGATATGTTGTACCATGTCCATGGGGTCAAATTACTGAATGTCGTTTCAGTCGATGTTGTTTCTGATTTCACCTGTTCCTTTGTATCCCTGTTCGTAGCCCTGACGTGGTAGGACGTTATTTCACCCTGCGGTTGTTTCGGGGCCCTCCACGTAACCATGATGTTGTCAGTACCGATATGCGGAAATTGTATACTTGTGACTTGTTGATCAGCTGCAAAATAAGGGAATTACAAAATGAAAGTGCAATGGGTCGATGTAGAGCCAATGCTGTTAGTATCATATAATCTACAACTGACAGTATGTAACTGAACAAAACTGCACCGATATAGATATTATTTCCATTTTCGCTAAAGTAAATTTATGATAAAGGCACTGCATTGGCTTCTGACTGGTGAAACTTTAGTCCAAACTGTACTGCAAACCTTGTTAACAGGTTTTACTAATCTAAATCTTAGATGATAAACGACTTAACTAAAATATAATACTGCAGACGTCGCTTAACTATAAAACTGTTTTTAACAGGCCTTATTTGTTAACCATTCGTTTACTACATAGAGTTGTGCGACCAGCTAGTTATGTAATGAATCAGACAGTGGATGTCATTTTTCAATGTGATTGAAGGTCTTCTTATAAGAGGCTAATAGAAAGGTCGCCAAATATGACCCGTTTTCACTATGCTCTTCAGGATTATGCTTTCTGTCATATGCGTATTTTCCTAAAATTTAAACACACCCTTATAATGTGGTCATAAATATTCCATGTACAGTGCAGTAACCCCCAACGGGAGCTCATCATTTTGATTATTTTGCCTAGCTGCTTTTTTCGAGCAACAAGCCAACTTACTATCGTTTGCTGGTGCAACTATTTATGAAGGAATGTTTATTTATCCCGCCATTTTCTCTTATTTTGCCTGCCAGATGTGCATACACAGTGAGGTCGTACCTCCAGAAATTCACTCGTGTGGACTATAGATAACCCTTGTCTTAAAGTATTCATAGCAACGAATAGACGGCTATTTAAAAGAAAAATACAATAGTTACAGAGCTATTTTTTATTTGAAGGGTATGAATATTATCACATAATTTGTTCGTATGTCCTGCGGTTTGAAATAAATGTTAACTATAACTGTACGATAATTTTGTAAACCATTGACTAAGGGTATTATTAGAAGACGTGGCATTAGGCAGTTTTTTTCAAAAACCATAAGACTGCCAATAGAGGAGAATATAAGAGTTCCAGGCAGCAGTTCCGAAGAAGAAGATGCGATCACTGGAACAAGGACAAGGGCTTGTCTCTG